CGGCAGGGGTGGCGCCCCGGACTTAAAGGAGCCGCTGTGCGGGACTATACACGCCGCTCACAACACTGCAGATCCGCCCAACAGGGCACTCAGCTGGGCGTCCAGCTACTTGACAGTCACGCCCTTCAAGATGCGCAGCCTATGCAAGGTGGCCACGCCTTCCACACCAGTACTTCACCCAGCTTCTTCCAGCTCTCCGAGCCCCACCCCGGATGGCTCCACCCCCCAGCCCTAGCTCCCGAATCACCGCTTGATTCCACCCGCTGCGTTCCCTGGGCCCCGCCTTGACCGCGCCCCCACCCCTAGGCTCCGCCCTTTCCGCCAGCTGGCCGCTGTTTAGTAGACACGGGTTTGATTCTGTCCTCTGGGGCACACACGTGGGCATTGTGACAAACCAGAGCTTGACTGGGAGTAGAATGCTGCCCCCAAATTCCCGGAACGAGATGTGTGATGGTGTGAGGCATTTCTGTCCTTCCTCTTTCTGGCTTCGTATGAGGCAAAACCTCCAAAGCTGACTGAAGTTGTGGTGACAAAGGTCCCCCCCCCCCCGTTCCCAAAGCAATGGCTGCCTAGGATTGGTATTGATAATATCCCCTCTCCACTTTGCAAGTGGGCCACCAGGCCTTGGTGGCCCCATTTTTCTCAGTTCTAGAGAAGACTCCCCACCAGGAGCTCAGAGGTAAGGCAAAGCCACCTCTGCCAGTCGGGTAGAGCACTGAAGATGCCCCAGCTTGAGGTCCCTGAATAAAACTGATACTCAGAAGTGCCTGGGCTAGGGATGACCAGGGCTCTGCAGGGACAGACCCATGCAATTAAGGCTCACAGGATACTTAGACCTTAGGCCTGGGCTTTGAGCTCTGCAGAGGCCTTCCCAGAGCCTGTAGGCATTAGCAGAACCCAGTTGGCCTAAGCACATCTTAATTTGCTTCAGGCCCAAGGACACCCCCAGAACTGGCTGGCACCCAAGATTCTTATCAGACCTCTGCAAGGTCTAAGACGACCTCAAGGCTGAGCAGGCATCAGCAAGCTCAGATGGCTTCATGGTAGAGGTGAGCATGCTCCAAGGGGCTTTTTTTTTTTTTTTTTTTTTGGCTCAAGCATCCTCTGGCCTCAAACAGAGGGTTTGAACCAAGTGGGTTAAAGTAATAGTGAGCAGGCTTTCTACCTGTTCTGGAACCTCCACCACAAGCACCTGGGATCACGCTAAACCTATTCCCTGCATTCTTGGATTTGTAGGTATTCCAGGAAACTCTGTGCAACCATGATATCCTGGCCTGTCCCCTAGAGAACTGGAGGAAGGAGGAGTGTTTCTCAGACTGAGCCCATCTCACCCAGGGCAGGTGAAGATAGGGTGGGAAAACACAGGGTAATGGGCAGGGGTAGGAAGTGGGTGGTCTCCCTTGAGCCTCCACTGGTAGTTCACCTCCCTAGGCTTCAATATCCCCAGCTGTACCAGAAAAAGATGTCTCATACACAACCAATGCCTAAAAGCTCACAGGGAGGCTCTGCTCCTCCCTCCACCCTCCCCACCCACTATGGCCTGGCCCAGCCTGGTCTCCTGCCAGGAACAGCTTCTATTGTTTGACTGGAAAAGCTGCTTCCTCAGCAGAAAGGGGGGGGGGCCTTTCCCAGGGACACCCTGTCCTCAGCCTTGCCAGTCATCAGTTGTGACCAAATGCCTGCCTGGCCTCTCAGTGGCAGTAGGATCACTAGAAAACTGGTCAGGAGAGGGAGATGAGTGAAGGGATCTAGGTGCCAGTGTGACTCTTCATGTCGGAAGGCAAGGCTCCTTTCCCACTCGGCTCCAGTTCCCTACCTCTCAGGCACACCACACAACCAAGCCTGCCTGCCACAGGTATGTGCTCAGTAAACATAAGGCAGCATTTTATCAAGGACCCAGACTTCTCCCCTCACCTGTCTGCCTCTTGACAGAGGTCTGGGCTGAGCATGAGGACATTCATGGTTCCTTACCCCTGGTGCCAGCTCCCAATCTCCAATGAGCACTCAGAAGCTAATCAGGACCTGAAGTGGCATCTGGCTAGGCCTTGGAGGGGAAAGAGCTTGAAGCCACCTCTGCAGGAAGCCCTTACCCTTCAATGATTATTAATAGGGACCTAAGTCCAGGAAATCATAACCCTGCTCTGATCCAGTGGTGGGCCCCAAGCCCTGGTGTCCCTCATCCATGGCAGAGGAAAGGGATGGGGTCAGGGAAGATGGAGCCAGTAAGAGGGGCTGGTCCTGGAATTGGCAATTCCTCTGCCAAAGGTACTTCTCAAAGAGGATAGTTTTGGGTTAAGAGATGTGGAGAAGAGATGCTAAGCACCAGGGTGTCACCCCTTCCCAGTCCCTAGCTACACACCAACTCTCTACACAAGCCTGTTTATTTCTGTACAAAATCACATTTCTATTTTACACAAAGGGCACCCCACCCTCTCTCCTCATGCCAGCACCCTAATCCTGGGAGCATCCAGGAAGGGTGCTGAATGAGGCCCCACCCACTTGGCCCTGGCTTCTGTCTGCCCTGGCTGGGCCAGCCAGAGCTCCACTCTAGAGAAAATAAATAAGGAGGCTCAGGCAGAATCTGTGCTAGTCCAGCCAGACTCTCCCAGCCCAGTGGCCAAGCAGTGGGACCCTTGGGTGAGCAGGACCTGGAGCATCAGTCTTCAAATCATGTAGGTGTGTGGAGACCCCCACCCTGGAGGCCTGAGCTGCCGGGGTTACAAGTAGGTATCTTCACTCTCCTGGGATGTCAGGCTCTCCTGGGAGCAGTGGTGGGCTAAGTCCTGGGGTGCTGAGTCCTGGGGTGCTGAGTCCTGGGGTGCTGGGTCCTGAGAAGCCAGGTCCTTTGAGGGCACATCCTGTGAGAGACATGCATCTCCTGCAGCCGTCACTACCGCGGCTTGGTTGGGGGACAGGGACTTATCCAGTTGCCCACTTGCTTTTGTCTGCTTCCGCTGCTCCTTCTGAACCTGCTTGGGAGGCTTGGGCTTGGCTTTGGAGCCAGGGAGGGGTGCATCTGGGGGTAGGCGGATGGACGGTGAAGGTTGCAGGGCAGGCCGGGGTCCGGGCTCTGCATCTAGGATGGCCTTGGCACCATGCAGCCTGGGTGGGGAGCGACACTGCAGCTCACCCCGTGTCTCCTGCCAGCGCCGCAGCTGGATGAGATGCTCACGCTCAATCTGGCGCTCTGTCACAGGCAACTCTACCACCTGCAGGGGCAGTGAGGGGCAGGTGGGCACCAAGAAGAAGGACCATCACCAGTTGTTTCAGCCTGGACCCCTGCTCTCCCTTCAGCATTTCCCAGCTCTCACTGATAACAGCTGAACCCAGCAAAGATGAGAATCTGGTCCCAAGCTGTGGTCACAAGTCCCAGAGCTGAGTGCCAGGGACATGAAACCTACTGCCTCTGAGGAAAAAGCTGCTCACAACACACAAGTCAATTTGCCTTTCTTACTGGGCAAGAGAAATAAGGCTCAGGACAACACCCATTCTTGGCCCACATGCCCTGCCCCCCAACTGCCTAGGGCACCCTGGCCTCCTGGGCTAATTCCAGCTGTGCCACTTTTTGGTTGGTGACTGGGGGAGTCACTTTATGATCCTGCCTCTGTGAGCCTCCATTTTCTCATGCGTAAAATAGGGATAATGGCACAGTCTTCAGCAGTTGTTGGTAAAGCAAGTACAAAAATGGGCTGTTGCTTTCTATTTCTTCCCCACGCAATGGCATCAGCCCTATCCCCTGGCCTCAAGCCATAGAAGCTGGCCACTCATGTATCACTTCATTGTAGCCTGAGAGAGTGGTATCCACAAAGGAAAAGAAAAAGAAAAAGGAAAAATAAAGCCCAGGCCATGAATGTGGGACCAGGAAAGAAGAGGTTATAGGTTGCAGCTCCTCTTCATTCCCCAGTGGCTTGGATAAGGAAGGTCCTACAAACCAAGGCCTCTCTGTGCCCCACCGAGACAGGAAGGTGAGGTCCATCTGCCCTGTTCAGGGCTGCTTAGCAGTGGGCCCAGCATGGGTAGCCCATCCTTGTGAGCAGAACCCTACCAAATCCTCCTCCCTCCTAGTCGCCACAAGGGGCAAGTGTGGGCCGAACCTCCTGAACCAGGAAGGCTTCCTGCATGATCTTGGGACTGAGGCTCCGCAGTTGCTCGATGGTCTCGTACTGGCCCTGGCAGGCTTTGAGCTTCTCTGGGGAGCCCAGTGCATGCTTCAGTAGCACCAACCCCACCCGGAAGATGATCTTGACTCCTGCATGGGAAGCAGATGGTGAGTGCAAGGAGGCCTCTACCAGGGCTCTGAAATTCCCCCCAGGCCAGCCTGGTTACCCTCACAGAAGAACATGTCCCAGACACGCAGCACAGAGCTCCAGGGCAGGGTGCGGGCAAAGGCGCACATGAACCACTCTGTCATGTAGAGCAGCGGGTCAATCTTCTGACGGCTGAGGTGCTTGTGGGCCACAGGTGAAACCTTCTGCAGCAATGAGAAGAGGATCTCGCCGTCCAGCTGGATCGCCTCCTGGGGGGACATCAAGGCCATGGGGTCATGACCAAAGCTGCAGTGAGCAAACTAGACAGCTGGTCCCCTCATGGAACTTATAGTGAAAAGGGACTAGGAGAGGGGATAACAGTGCTGAGTGCCCTGAACATGGCAGGAACAGGAATGCTCAACAAGTACCTGACAGAGGGTTCTCCCTGCTCAGGCCAAGGAAAGCTCCACACAAGCTGAAAGCTGAGAAAGGAGGAGTTTTGAGGGGAATAGAGCTTCAGGCAGAAGTTTACTCCTACGCCACCACAGCAGAGGCAGGAAGAACTTTGTGCTCTGGAGGAATTTCAGTCCTGCCAAATGGCCCAAGTGGTTGGAGGGAGAGATGTAGCACCTATGACACCAGGGTCTGGGAGACCAGACTCCAGGACTTCAGCCTGGAATGACTGTAGAAAGAAGAGCCTAGAGGCATCCAGCTGGGGTCAGGTCCCAGGCCAGCAAAGTACTCACCAATTTCTCACTGTAGTAGCCAGGCAGATACTTCTCACAGATCTGTACCAGACACCAGAAGGCTTGCTATGGGCAAGAAAAACATCAGGCCTTGCTACTGGGGTTGGTCCCTTTGCCCACCCATGTGTCCAAGGCCTGATGATACCTCAGCAGGCATGTGCATGAGTAGAACAGCAGCAATAGGCGCCTGGGCTTGGCAGTAGCCCTCCTCAGGTCGGTACAGCGTGTAGGCCTTTAGCACACGGAACAGGTCCTGCTGGCTGTAGAGAAGTCAGGCAGGACAGCCATGAAAGATTGATTCTGCCATCCACTGCCCCACCTGTAACCACTGGACTGGACCTCCTTCAGAATTTGCACTTTCCTGGAAAGGGGCGGTGACCTACTTGTGGTCAACAAGGGGCTGGCCTCCCACTGTAGCATATGGATTCTCACCTGACTAAGAAGGAAGGTGGGAAGAGATTCCCCCATGACAGGTGAGGAAAGGGGAAGGACTGGGACAGGTTGTCAGAGAGGTACAGGGTAAGGTATCAGGCTGGAGGCTAGAGCCCCTCACTGGCAGCTCCACTGGCAGCTTTGTCCCAGTCAGTCCCTTCCTGCATACCCTCTTCCTACCCAATCCTCACTATCCCTTTTTTACAACAAAAACCTGTTTGCAGAAGACCAGAGTGGGCAAGCTCTAGCACTCTGGGGAATAAATGATGAAAGCTGCCCAGAGGAGATGCTAAGAACTCTATCAAACATAAATCAAAGAAGGGAAATACTGGGCTGGGGATGTGGCTCAAGCAGTAGTGCGCTCACCTGGCATGAGTGGGGCGCTGAGTTTGATCCTCAGCACCACATAAATATAAAATAAAGATGTTGTGTCTATCGAAAACTAAAAAATAATAAATATTAAAAAAAATCCTCTCTCTAAAAAAAGAAGGGAAATACTGACAGAATTTGGGATACTGGTATACCTGGTTTCTGGGCCCCCAAGGATACCTCCAATCTCATTGCACCCACTCTGCCCACTGAGGGACAGGCCCTAGAGCCCCTCTTCCAGCCTATAGTCCTGCTCACCCATGACCTCCACGGGACACAAACATCTCATGGAAAGGGAACTGTCTGTGAAGGTCACGCTCAATCACATCAAGCCATTTAGGGTCCCCGGGAGACATGTCCAGCTCCTAGAAACAAAGACAAAGGCACATATAAGGGGCTAGGGAGAGTGGAGGGGAGCATTCCTGGCAGAATTGGCTGGTCCCAGGAATAATATTTAATGCTCCTTTTTTTGAATTTCATGTCAGTTATAAGGATGAGTATTATTTGTCAAAGCTCACTGAACAGCACACTCAAGATCTGTACATTTTTCCCTATATAAAGTTATGCTTCAGTATTTAGAAAAGAAAGAAAAATAAATATGAAGGAAACTAAAAGGGCTGAGCAGGGAAGCTGAGCCAAGTACAAGCTGCAGCATCGGGGAAGGTGCTGGGAAGGAAAGGAGGTTTCAGCAAATATCCTAAGAAGATACCACCAGGTGACCTCATACAAGTCCCTCTCCCTTTCATGCCCTTAATAGGGGTGTCCAGTATTAAACTAAAGAATTTAGGATGCCTGAAATTTGACCATAGAGTAAGGACTGAAAGGAAAGGTGAAAGAGTACGGAAGGCTGAGGGAGAGGAAGGGGTTGGGGTTTCCACAGTGAAGGAAGGTGTGTTATCCTCTGGAGCCCCACGAACACTCGAGACAGGGCCTGTGTGTGTGCTGTGTATTCCTAGCAAAATCCAGTTTTTCTTTTTTTTTCAGAAGGAGAGAAGATCCCCACAAATTCTCCTGGTGGTTCCCATGAGGTATAGGGACCTAAAAACCCCTAAACTTAGTTCCTAGAATGTGTTCATCTGGTACCTCAGCAGCCCAAGGTACCTACCTAATCACACTCAGGCTGATGAAAAGGTAAAAGAGATAGCTGCAATCACTCTTGGGAGAAGGGGTGTGCTGGGAATCAAAGCCAGGCAGGGGCCACCCACAGAGAAGCCAGAATTGCCATCACTGGGCCTGGGACCTTCTTGAGCCTGCACAGTGCTGATACCATCATGAGGTGAAACCAGAGAAGAAAAACAGGTAAAAAAAGAACAGGAAAGTCCTCCTTGTCCAAGAAAGACACAAGAAATAGCAAGTGCAGGAAAAAATGGAGTAGCTAAGTCCTATAGAATCTGTCCTGACTGTTGAGATGGAACCAGCTACCTAGAGCACTGTGTTAACTGGAAGACCCAGTAATACCACAGCCCACTCCCTAGACTCCTGCCATGGCTCATGCATGTGAGGCATTGGAGAGAGCTTCCCATTCCTGTCTGTTTCCTTTGGGTCATTTAAAGGAAAAGTCCTTCCTAGCAAACCAAAAATCTGCTAGCAAACCAATCTCTGGGCTCCCAAGTCTACTTCAGGGACCCACTGCTCAGATTCAGAGCATCAAGAAGGCCTTTTCTCGGGGTTGGGGTTGTGGCTCAGTGGTAGAGTGCTTGCCTGGCATGTATGAGGCACTGGGTTTGATCCTCAGCACCACAAAAAAATAAATAAAGGTTGTGTCCATCTACAACTAAAAAATATTTTTTTAAAAAAAGGTCTTTTCTTAACTTAAAATCAGCATACTACAGTAATGCATCCATGTCAATTTTTTTATTTGAATTCATTTTATTCTTTTTTATGGGCAGTTTACTCTACATTTTCTCTTCCTCTCTGCACCAGTTAGCTCTTACAACAATAACGCTGCATTAACAAGCCATCCCAAGCTCATCAGTTTAAAACAACAATCATTTCTTCTTATTCACAAACCTGAGTTTGGTCAAACTAAAAGCATTTTATAGCTGTAGGCTACGCTCAACAGGTGTTGGCACCAAGCTGCAAGTCAGTCCAGTCTCGTCTGCATGTCTTCCATGTTTCTGATACCTGTGGGTCCTCATGAGCATGTTATGCTCATGGTGATAGCAGAAGTGCAGAAGAGCAAGTCAGATTGCACGAGCACATTTCAAATCTCTATTCATTTCTTGTCTGCCAGAATTGCATTGGATAATTAAAGTCAAACATTCAAATCCAGCATCAAAGTAGCAGAATCTCCTATATTTCATCCACAAAGGTATGAAAACAAAGCATATATTTGGCAATTATCTAATTGACTATATTCTCCATAACCAAATCTTCTCCAAATAGTTGGCATCTACTAATTGATAAGTTCAGTATTCATTTATAAAATAAGAATAATAGTAATAATGTTTGCCTCACAGGATTACTTAGGATTGCTTAAAATGAGATGTCATGTCAATTTTTATATCAGCTCCATTCACAATAGCTAAACTATGGAACCAAATTAGGTGTACTTCAATAGATGAATGGATAAAGAAAATGTGGTATATATATATTCAATAGAATATTACTCAGCTTTAAAGAAGAATGAAATTATGGCATTTGCCAGTAAATGGATCGAGTTGGAGAATATCATACTAGTGAAATAAGCCAATCCCAAAAAGCCAAAGACCGAATGTTTTCTCTAATATACAGATGCTAATTCACAATAAGGTGGGGTGGGGTGTACCAGAGAAGAATAGCATTACCTTAGATTAGGTAGAGGGAAGTGAAGGGAGGGGAGAGGATATGGAGATAGGAAAGATAGTAGAACGAAACAGACATTATTACTTTATGTATATATGTGACTGCATAACCAATATGATTCTACAATATGTACACTCAGAAAAATGAGAAATTATATCTCATCTATGTATGATATATCAAAGTGCATAAATGCATTTTACTTCTCATGTATAACTAATTAAAACAAATTAAAAATCACCTCAAAAAAAAAAAAGAAGGCCTTTTCTCAGCAAATCAACTTCCTTGCACAGGCAACCTTGCAAATGTCACAGCGGGTAGCCAGTTCTTCTTTGGACATACCACTCTACATATATGTACAGAACCCTGCTCTGCTACACCCACTGAGGACCTGCTGAACTGTGCAACCAGGACGCTGGCCAGACCCCCATGTTCTTGGTTCTCGGGCCTGTGCTCTGGCAGCCAGACATTGCTATGGACTTGGGGCAGGGCTCTCATCCCTGAGTTCCCCACCCTACCCAGAAAGTAGCCCCTTGCAATGGAGATGTAGCCACTGGGAAGAAGACACTGGAGTTGAAAAGCCACTCTAGTGTGGCCTGGTATTGGTGCTCTATGGGAATAGCCAATTTCCTTGATTCACAGTTTCCCCCAGCAGATGTCCCACCAGTACCTCTTTCCCTGGGGCCAAGTGCTGCCAGTTAATAGCTCTCAGCCTTTTCAGGGCAACAACAGAAACTCTGCCCTGCTGTGCTCCTATCCTCCTTTTTCAGAGAGCAGGTCTAGCCAGACAGGAGTGTTCACCAAAGCATGAAGGATGTCCACAAAGAACTAGTGGCTGACAGTGTCTCACTGCCTGTTATTAGTCCCAGTGGCCTGGGAGAAACCCTGATGCCTGGGATGAGGTCTGGCAGGTAAGCTGGGGCAATTCTGGGGAAGCCAACTGCCTCCTCCCAGTTCCCCAGGGGAGTAGGTTGGAGGAACTGCCCAGGTCAGTGAATGGAGGGGTAGTGTACTCTGGCCAGTCACTGAGTTGGGAGCAGCAAGAGAGGGGTAGGGCAGAGGGAGGCATGGATACAGTGGGCACCGTCTCTGGCCACAGAGTCACCTCTCACTCCTGAAGGGAGTTTAGAATTGCTACCTTCAGGGATGATGACCCCTTCAGGCAGCATGTCTGGTCTGGTTTGGAGGTAGGAGGAAGAGAAGAGGATGAAAGGCCAGACAGTGTCAAGGGTCTTGTGGTCCTGCTAGGCAAGCCCCATAGAGGCCCAGAGCACAGGTCCCAAACAGGGAAATGCTCTGATTATCCCTCCTGATGACTAAGAACTAGGAGGTAGCTCAATAAGTACCCCAAAACAAACCTGAGTAATTGTGAAGACAAAGAACTTGAGTTGGGGGTTTGGCAAATCTATCCATCCCATTAAGGTCTATTCAAGGCTACACCCTCAGATGAACAGAGCCTCCAGGAGTCATGGTTTCCCAAGACTGGGCCAAAACAGTCTGCTAGTCCTGTGTTGTCAAGCACAAGACTGGAGGTTCTGTCAGTTGCCCCCATCCCTGGCCCTCGGCTGAGGTCCAGGTTAGCATATGGGGAATTGCTGCCACGGGAGGACGCCCAACCCAGAAACATGGAAGGAAGGGTGGGGTGAAGGAAGGAAGGCAAACTCACATCAAACTTCCCAGGGTTCTGCTGCAGTTTCACCTTGCCTCCTGACAGGTATTGCCAAGCACGGCCCCGCAGAGAAGGTGGGATGCCTTTCTGACACCGCAGGCGGATCTGAAAATCAAAAAGACAGCTGTGACCATGTATCCACCCTGGCAGCTCCTTGAGCCAGGCTCGTCTTTCAGGGCTTGGTGGACCCTCACCCAGTATATCACCAAGTGCAGAAAAGCAGGGTGGGGTAGAGGGGAGGACTTTCCTACTGTTACTATAATGCAGATTCTACAGTGGGAACAGGGGGATTGAAATTAGACATGCTACCACCAGGGGATGGCAGAGTGCACATCTCCTGGTCCAGTGACAAAACAGGCATTCATTCCTGGGCTGGGGATGTGGCTCCTGTAGAGCGCTTCCCTAGCATGCAAGAGGCTCTGGGATCAATCCCCAGCACTGCAAAAAAAATAAATAAATAAAAAGGTATTCCTGAGGTCTGTCACAGAATTCTGGTTGCCCATAACTACAATCTCCCACAGGGAACTGGTTCCAGAACCCCCATGGACACCAGATTCTTCTGGTATTCAAATCCTCCATATAAAAAGGAGAATATATAAAGTACCCTATATAAAGGGAGTATATAACCTATGCACATCCTCCCATATACTTTAAATCATCTCTAGATCATTTATTATAATACCTAGTGCAATGTAAATACTAAGTAAATAGTATATTGTATTGTTCAGGAAATAAAGTCTACATATTCAGTAGATATAATCATTTAACCCTAACCATATTTTCCATTTGTGGTTGGCTGAATCTACTGGTGTGAACCTACAAATACTAAGGGCTTACTGTACTTCTGAATCAAAATGGAACCATACAAGTTGAGTTACCCCATAGTTTGTCACCAGAGAGGGATCTGCACCACACAAGGCACAGTTGCAGCCATAGGAAAGGCTGCTCACAAGATGAACCAGAATACATCCAAAGGTGTGGTCCAAACACTTTCATGGAGGGTGTTGGTTTAAGCAGCTGTACAGTAGGACACAGTCAGCCTGGAGAACTCTCAGCAAAACTCAAAAGGAAGGCTCTCTCATTGTTTTGGTCAGGAATTCCCTCTCTTCTCTCCTTGACCCTGAGCTCCGGAGAGGACCTTGACAGTGACAAGGAAAGAGGCAGCTGGCTGGGAGTAAATTCTGATTGCAGCCCTTACTATGAGATGTTGGCATATAAGACTGGGGTACACCCTCAGCCCCATACACTAAGCAGTCTGGCCTGAGATAAAGGAGCTGAGTACACAGGGCATGAGAGTAGCTGATGTAGGTCTGAGTCTTGTACTGGCCTTGGGCCAATCATTTCTTACCAACTTTAAGATCTGAATGATGTCACCTACCACTTCAGACTTGCTGAAAGGATTGAACTAGAAGGGGGCAACTGTGCTCAGTGTGGGGCTTGACGCACAATCTGTGTTCAATAAGTAATGGCTTCTTCTCGGCCCTCCATCACAGAAGGATATTTAACACAGAAGCTCTGAGGCCTTAGCTCATACCTAACTTTCCCTCACCTGGAAAACCCCTCAAACAGTCCCGCTAGAAACTCTCAGAAGAGGGAGAACATAAGACCTGGCCTTCCTGATGATCAGCACAAATAAGAGAAAACTTTCCAAGGGTCAAAGAAAGTCAAGAATCAGGAAGGAGACAGGCTGCAGGCAGTGAGGAATAGGAATCAGGCTGCTCATAAGAGCCAAGACTGAGCTGCTGGAATTGCCTGGAAAAGGGAGAGAGGAAGGGAGTGGAGGGGAACTGCCCCTGACTGGGAAGTTTCCTGCTGTTGTGGGACAAGGGTCACCTTAAGGAAGTCACTTTGGCCAGGCTTTGGCAACTGACTGGCTGTTGTTCAGCCCAGAGTCACAGATCCCTCAAGCTTCCACACAAATTGATTAAGCTCAGCTTGAGGCAGGCAGCTCCATCATCACAGATCCCTGTCACATGTGCCCTACTCCAAGGGAGTTTTGGAGTATTTTCAGTCCACTGAGGTTCCTCAAGAGGCTCTGATTTTAGACAGGCCCAGGGTAGGGAGCTAAGGCTGGAAAACCAAGAGTGAAACCTAGGATAAAGAAGATGGTGTTCAGGACTTTTCCATCTAGCCTCTTACTCTCCTCAGCACAAAGATAAGGAAATGGTCATCCACTCTGCCTGCCTCAGGGAGGATGGTAGGGATGTGTTAGGAACAAGTACAAGAAAGTGTTCCCAAAAAGCATAAGGATTACCAGTCTTTTAGGCAACACCTTGAGATAGAGGGGCTCTGATGACAGCTGAGCAAGGCCACACCCTTGCCTGCTGAATTCTGGGAGGGCAGGGCCACTGCTTAAGCAAATCCAAGTCAGGGACCCATGGGGAAAGACTGTATTCTAGCAATTTAGCCCTGTCTGTCTAGATTTCTGTCCTGGACACAGCTGAGGGTGCTGAGGGAAGCCACCCTCCTCTCCTGGCAGGAGTCATCTAGGAGGAGTGTTGGATCTGAGCACACTTCCCAAAACAGGTATAGTATTTTCCTTGCTGTGACTTCTTGACCAAAGGAGATCACAGCCTCCATAGCCAGGCAGAAAGAGCTCCTGGGGCTTGTCCAGGGTAACCACAGCCAAAGAGGAAAGATGGGTACTCTGTAGTGGTCCTGGTCTGAAGCAGAGCAGTGGGTTATGGCCTCCAGGTATGGTGGGTTAAAACAGGCCTGTGGAATCTTCTGCTGGGCATGAGCAGCCCTGGGGCTCTAAGCACAGTGCCAGGGAAGCAAAGAGCAAAAGGAAAACTGCTGAATGGTCCTGCTGAGAAAACTCCCTAAGGGTTCCCTCAGGACTCCCTGTTTGCAAAGGAGGCCAGGGAGAGAAAGCCAGAGCCATGATTCCTGCAGGCAGTGAGGAAGAGGAGTCATGCTGCTCACAAGAGCAGTCTGTTACCACAACAGACAGCTGGAGAACAAGCTATAGCTCAGGGAAAGGCCTGAGGAAGGATGAGGAAGGAAAACATCATAAAGTCAGGCAGGAAACAGTTGAGGAAATATAAATATCTTAATAGCTAGGCAAAAAGGTGCATGTCTGTAATCCCAACTATTTAGGGGCCTGAGGCAGAAGGATCACAAGTTTAAGGGCCGGGGTTGACAATTTAGTAAGACCCTGT